ACGCATGACACAGACACTTATGCATGCATGCACATACAAACACATACACATGCATGCACACACATGTAGGTACACAAACACACACACATTCACAAACACACTCGCAGATGCAGACTCAGACACACACAAACACACTTACTCACAGATGCAGACTCAGATGCACAAAAACCTGTAAACTCGCAGATGCAGACTCAGATGCATACAAACACGCAGCTGTGCTAATAAGCAAGTCCACTACTAGTTCACTTACCCTGGCCTTGTCTCAATATGAATTTTATCAATTGTCTCTGCCATATCAGTATATCCTTGGAATTGAGCATAGTCTTTGGACACAAAAATTATGTCGGCTTTTGGTATGAGGCTGCTGAGTTCAGGTTTGGCCTTCTCCAGTTCAACAGAAATGATGATGGGCTTAACGTCTCTGTGATTTTCGTTGTGCTTTCGGACAACTTCAATCATACCAACTACATTTGAAACATTACGACCCTGGAATGAAAGAAATGACTTTAAAATGAGTTAAAACAAAATGTAATAGAGAAAAATTAACAAGTACTTGGTTTAGAATTCTATATAAACTGTATGTACCATCACACTACCACACACACTTCCACACTTTCCAGGCTGTCAACACAAACACTTACCCGAGGATTATAGCACGCGTATTACGCCCCTGTGTGTACGCCGTTTGCATGTGTGAATTTAGCATGTGTGTTCTCGCGTGCAGTTTGAGCACCCATTCTAGACGCCAGGAATAAACAAAAGCCAAACCTCATCCTAGGTCTTACGACACACTAGGTCACCTCAGAGAACCAGAAAAGCATATACTCACGCAACTGAGAGTTGGATCTATCGACGAGAGGATCGTCGCCAAAGGGTTTTAATTAAACGAAGAATGCCAGGAATAGACTATACACGACGAGCGATCCACACGCAGACCAGCAAGAGACGACAGCAGAGGAGGGTGGGGAGATGCGATCGAGAGGCACGACACACACGAGCGAGCATCTATCACACACAGCGAGCACAGAGAGGCCCACACGAGGAGGCGACCACACTAACACAATCTGCACCAGCGATCTCACCACACGTGACGACGATTCTTCGAGAAAAGTAGATGGTGAGGAACGAAGAAGAAATGAGATGAGAAGAAGAAGAGCGAGAAGCAAGAACGAGACGCAAGTTATAGGAGGGAAGTATGTATAAAGAAAGATAAAGTAGAGGAAAGAATGGAAAGATGAAGTTGATAAATAGATGAAGAAGACGGAGGAAGAAGAAGAGGGAGATGACGAGGACGAGGAAGAAGAGGACGGAAGAAGAAGAAGAAGCAGACTGAGAAAGAAGAGGAGGGATAGATGAAAGAAGAAGAGGGAGATGAAGAAGAAGAGGGAGATGAAAGAAGACGAATGCAGAAGATATGAAAAGATTCAATAAGCAAACACTATGAGACGTATTTATATCCTGTAGAGTGATGAAACCTAGGTCACTAAAGAATTTAGTAATTCATATAATCACAGTCATTCATGTATCAGCACAATTAGGGTCACCAATAAATACATCACTTATGTATTATCGTTACAATCTGGACATTATCTATTATCAAATTTATCAGGCTAAATATGCTACGTGTGTAATAATGATCGAATTTCCAGTCTAAATACTATAATATATATCCTATATATATATACTATGTATTTATTATATTTATATTAATACCGCGCTACCGTTAATAATCAACGAATAACTAATTCGTCACTTCTTATTCGATTAATATTAATACTTTATTAATGAGTGTCACCGAACCATACGTAACAATCTGAGAGATTATATCACTGCTACATGCACCGATCACAATGACCTATACCTACATTGATTCACTTATCTAAATGGTGCATATCCTACTTATCATGTATTATATCACCTAGCCACTGTCCCATCACTAGTTTATCTTTAGAAATATATGACTTTCATAGTCATCTAACCATTGCAACAATTACATCTGTATTGGTAAACTATGACGTACTATACAACCAATAACACACATATATCACAATACATATTAACCTATTACTTTACATTATATATATAAATATTACCAATCAATTACTAAACTACTCACATATGAGCCTAAATCTTCTCTCAACGCCGTCACTAAATCACATGTCTTATATTGATGCACAATTATAGTCTGTGGTCCTAATTCAACCCCATAACGTCAATACTTAACCATTCAACATATTTCTTCACTGTGTATACAATGGACAACACGGAGGTATACATCACGAACAGAAGGAAGGAAAGAAAAACACAGAAGAGAAATAAAGAGAATAAATGGGACAACGAGCAAAAGGAAGAACGAAAGAGAGAGTAAGAGAAAGATGGATAGAGGAAGATAAGCGAGAACGAAAGAGAAAGAGTAAAAAGACAGCACACACGCAGTAATGAAAGGAGAGAAGTACTATAATAGAAAGCAAGAGAGAAAAAGGGATGAAGAATAGGAAAGTTGAGATGAGAGGAATAATAGATGAAGAAAAAACAGAAAGAAAAGAGAGCGAAAGAGAGAATTATGAGAAGAATATTAATAATGAAAAGTAAATACGTTATCACGCAATGAGAAAATAAAGAGAGAAAATTGATAAGGAAAAATTAAAAACTTGGATAAGAAAGGAAACAACTGTAAAATTAAGTAAGCAAAAATAATAACAAAAAATGAAAAGATCTATTATAATAGAAATGAAAAGGAAAATGAATGAGAAAATACTATAGTATATTGGGTTTAAAAAGAAGGTTCATCGCAATCTATTATCGTCTGTGCAATGCACAAGAAACGCGCAAGTGCAATCACACAAAGGTAAAGAAAAAAGTTCTCTCTCGAAGTAAGAATGGTACTTCATGAGGTGTAAATCGACTACATCGTACAGAAAGAACCGAGAGGCTGCGAAGTATCATGATATGGACATCGCAAAATGAAAAAATTAATAACATTGAAATATACATTGTAAAAGACATATGAAAAGAACTCTTAAGCAAATGCACACGAAAAGGAAGGAAAATCAGAATTAAGGAAGCAAGAGAGAAAATAATACAACCGTGAGACGCGCGTGAAATAAACTAAATATAATTGCAAAGTGATAAGTCTCATATGATTTAATAGAATAGTATAATTTATTTATTTTATATATATAATGATACTTGGTGTTTGATATATGAGATAACACTTTTGATTTGCAGGAGAATGATGCCAATTACGCTGCAGGATTAAGAGAGGTCTTCCTATTCTTGAGTCTGTCGTGTCTGTCACTGTCTGATGTGTCTTAGGTTATGAAGGGGATGTATCTAATACCTGAGTCATGTGATGTACATTATCTCTCTTTAGTTTTTGTCTGTTCTGTCGTGTTATCTAGTACTGTATCTGTCTGTTTCTGTACTGTTGCATCTATACAGATCACAAATTTAGTACTATGTATCTGTCTTGTCTATTAGTTTCATATTACTCAGTATTTACATAAAATATACTTATTCATATATATATATATATATATATATCTGTACTAGTTCATTTAACTGTCTGTCTGTTAGTGTTCACTGTTCCTCTTAGGATTCATCTTAACTCTTCTACTCTTCTCTCTCTCTCTCTTACCTATTATATCTGTCACATATCATCACGACACACACATTTTTGTAAATATTTTACTCCTGACACATTAATGTCTATCATATATCTCTCTATTATATATCCTCTCAATCTCATCTCTTATCATTATAATCTATCCTTCTCTCCATATACTACTTATCCTATCTTATAGTCTCTATCCTACTATCATCTACCCCTCATCTAGCTGATATAAATTTATCTAGATATATATATAATATATATACCATTATATAGTACAAATATATAATTATATATATATATCACATATACCATATTAATTAGATATTATAGGTAAGTATACTATTATATATATGGTATTATAATTAAATATATATATATAATTAAATTTATATATATATATTTATATATATATATTATATATTAATATATATTATATATATATTAATATATTAATATAATATATATGATTATAATATATGTTGTATGTGTTATTATTAGTGTGGTTGTGGTGGTTTAGTGTGTGTGGTTTTGGTGTCTTGTGTTGTGTGTGTGTGTCTGTGGGTGTGGGCGGGTGTGAGTTGTGTGTGTGTGTTGGGTCGTAGAGTGATATGTTGTGTGATGTATGTTAGTGATGTGTTGTATGTGTGTGTGATGTGTGTGCTTAGTGGTTGATGTGTGTGTCGTGTATATAATATATAGTATATGCATTATATACTATTAATATATATTTATATATATTATTATATAATATTATATATATTACATTATAATATATATTAATATACATTATATATATAATATATAACATTAATACATATTAAATATAATATATTCATGAATTATACCATACATAAGCATTTTATAACATATGTATATATATTATAGCATTATACTATATATGTATATTGTATATATATATACATTATATACTATATAATATACATTAATATACATATATTATACATAATATATATAATAAATACAATACATAAATATTATATATATATATTAATATAGATATAATATTATGTTAATATAATTATAATATATAGTAATATAAAAATATTATCATACAATATTAAATTATTGGTTATATTTATCATATATATGATAGTAGGGGGGGGGGGGTGGGAGGATAGGGTTGGGTAGTAGGCATGTAGGGGGTATATCGATGTGATGTTTGAGTGTGCATGTATTAGTGCAGTGTGTGTGTTTTAGTTTTGATGTGTGGTGTATTGACGTGCGTGCGCAAGCTGAGTAGCGAGATGAATAGAGTGATTAGATGTTGATGTGTACATTATCATCATAAAACATAGATAGTAAATGTTTATATGATAATATAAATATATGCACACATTAAACACATCACATACACACAACGTATACTTACACTGACAGACATATAGACATAATTACGAAATAACGTGCATTTATTAGGTAAGTATAAACGTATGAATAGATACACATACGTCTCAACACGTCGAAGAGGCAATCAGCTGCTACATTTTATGATTTTATTACGATATTGTAAATACATTATTATATTACTTATCGAAAGCAAAGATTATTTTTTTATATTATATCTTTTTACTTATTTTCATTGGTTGTGTTTACTTTTCTATTTAATATATTTATATTGAAAGTTATATTCCTTTTGATTAATTTGGAGTTAATTTAAACGAGAGCAATTATATTTAGAGTTAATATATCAAATTGAATAGTATAAAATATTTAATGTAATAGATATATTAATTATGTGCTTAGCTTGATCTGTAAAAGTCTAATTTTTTCTATATATAATAATGTACTTCACTTATTTCTTAATAGAATAAAATAAAGAACAGGATCACTCTTTTGACACATTAGCTTATTTATTTAATGACATATATAGCTATACA